TCCTTTCTAAAATTGCCAAATAAGGTGAGGTTGTATTCGTCTTTCTGTCTATAAACTCTAAACTTTGTAACAAAGATGGTTTCCAATCTATAAAGCTTGAGTGTCACGTCCTACTGTGTTCTTTGCTTCTTTCAAAACTATAAATGTGCCGCATACATTACTAATTATAAATAAATTAGTTACCTAAAGGTTCCTTCAAGTTGCTGTTCTTGGTTAGTTAGTTCATTAGAATTAGGAGCCACCATTCTTAGAAAACCTTCGAGACTTACAACTTCTTTGTTCAACACTCGAGAATTCTAATAACATGGTTAAGTTAAGGGCATGACTCTATACCATGGTAGGAACCACAAATCTCCACAATAATATGATATTGTCCACTTTAAGCATAAGCTCTCATGGCTTTGCTTTTGGTTTCCCCAAAATGTCTCATACCAATGGAAATAGTGTTCCTTACTTATAAACCCATGATCTTTCTCTTAATTAGTCAATGTGGGACTACTCCTCAATAATCTTTAACAATTTCTGCTTATCGAACACTTTGATAGCCAGACATCAAGATCCCATTTCTATGTCTTTGGAGTGTTATTATTAATGATTTGAATTTGGAAGTCTTTGGAGTGTTATTATTAATGATTTAAATTAGCCTTCCAAAAGTTTTGAATTCTATATCATGAAAGGTGTTGAATTCTACATCTGAAAGCACCTCTCTTCTTGAAGTATTGAAGTTGCTCATGTCATCATCATTGTTGACAGCACATCTTTCCCCATATGTTGGGTATTAAGGGTTTGGAGGGAGGGTCACATTCTACTCTAGATGTTTTTGACCATGTGAGGTGATAGAACGTAGTTGTAACAGCCCAAATCCATCGCTAGTAGATATTGTCTTCTTTGGACTTTCCTTCAAAGTTTTTAAAACGCATCAACTAGGGAGAGATTTTCACACATTTATAAAAAATGTTACAAATGGTATCAGAGCCAAACATCGACCGGTGTGCTAGTGAGGATGTTGGGTCTCGAAGAGGGTGGATTGTGAGATTGCACATCGATTGAAAAGAGAAACGAGTGTTAGCGAGGATGCTGGGCTCCGAAGGGGGATGGATTGCAAGATCCCACACCGGTTGGAGAGAGGAACGAAGCATTCTTTTATAAGGGTGTGGAAACCTCTCCCTAGTAGACACGTTTTAAAAATCTTGAAGAAAAGTCTAAAGAGAACAATATCGGCTAGCCAATGTATCTCAAGTACCCCAAATGATGCACTAATCAGAGTGAGGGAAACTCCCTCCATAAACAGAAAAAAAATGACGTCTTTCTTTCTGTTGATCTCATCTTCTTGTCTGAGTGCTCTGCTTATGCGTGGTTTATCCTTACTGTTTGAACTACTCTTTCTACTATTTGGAAACGAAATCAACTTTATGTATTCGTACTTGATTTCTTTACTAACGTGAATTAAAATTTAAGCTTGACAGAGGAGCTTGCACCGCTCCATTGGTTGAAAGCTCCTCGTCTTTTTCACAAGGTAAAAACTGTATTGTCATGCTTGAATCCAACAAAAACTTTGAAGAGCACATCTTACTGAAAGTAATAAATCCAACCTCTTGGGTTTGAAACCAGCCACGTAAGGATGGCTCAGTTGATAGCTAAGATGTTAAATTCAAGAAAATTAAGCTGTAAGAAGGAAGCCGAGTGTACCAGTATCCATTGTTGAAAGCTGAAAATATATCAACCAAATCAAGTACAAATATGCCTTCAACCAATTAGCTGTCTTTAAACTAGAATCAAATGGGAGTTTAGGCATACTCATCAAACTAGAATCAAATGGGAGTGAGAAAAGTTTGTCATATTTAATTTAGTTGGGGTTGGATTGAGTTGAATAGATAATAATTTGAGTTGTGTTTGTCATGATTTGTAGTGTTACGGTCATGCATGTCCAAAACATATTGAATGTCCCAGTCACGCTCATCTAAGACATATTGTCCAAGGTTGCATGCTTATTTAAAACCTTTTTTATATGTTTTCATGTTAGATAGATCTTTATGATTCTTGTTGTATCAATACAGAGGTGTACGATTGGTCACTAAAATCACGTCTACACTTATCATGGTTAAAATGATCCAAAATATAATACAGGGAGGTAGGACTAGTTGTCAATTCTTCCTACTCGAGTTATAGATTGTCTAAATTGTAGTAGGTAGTTTAATCATATTTAACTCATCTGAGAAGCTCATGAAAACTCGTGAAAAATAATTGTGGACATGTTTTATTTTTCTGCCCACCAATTTTGTATCCACAACTAGCTTTGAATCCTCTTAAGCTTTTGTTGTCTTCTTTCATATCTACTTTGACCGAGAGAAAATTTCATCTATTTTGCCTCTTGGAAGTCAGAGACTTCTGCAGGGAGAGAATAAAACAACACTGACCAACCCTTAGGGTTGAGAATTAGCCACCGGAAGCACCCGAGTTCTTTCTCCGGCAGCTATTCGACTACTAATCAACACGACTTAAGCGGCATAGCCCTCGCCGAATTGATAAATGGAAGCCAATCGGCATCAGAAAGAGGATCGGAAATCGCATTTCGAAAGGGAAAAATGTACGTGACGAGGCCTCTTTCTCTGTACAGAAACTCTCCGTCGTCCTTATCATCGGCGCCGCCGGAGGGTCCGAATTCGGGGATTTTGGTAATCCAAGACGAAGAACCTGCGGAAACCAGATGGTGCTGTGGATTGTTTAAGACGAAGGAGTCCGTGAAGGAACTGCCGTTCCCTCAGAACAAGATTCTGCGGCTTACACATGCCGCTGACGCAGGAGAAATTGAGTACTCTGAATCGGTACGCGCAGTGCTCATTCCAGTTCTGAATCTCCCCCTCTCTTCCAACCAATATTACATCATCAATTCTCACTCGAACTCGAAAAGGGTACGTACCTCCCAATTACGATCATAATTCTCATTTATTTTAGATATTAAATCTTAATTTATAAACATAAATTGTTATTATTATTTTAGAGAGAGTTTAGAGTGGGAAAGTGTGAGATCTTTAGTTACATGATTTGCTACTACGGGTAGATCTTGTTTTCTTTTCGCTTTCGCTACAACCATTGGGTATCATAATATTTTGATTGTGATATTCAGCTACAACAATTAAATATCATAACATTTTAATTGTGACATTTGACTATAATAATGAGGTACCATAGTATTTTTGGTTGTGGTATTCCGCGCTACAACAATTGGGTATCAAAAAAAAATAGAGCTGAGATTTTTAGGAATAACTTCACATGATCTATATAAATTTCAATTGAATCGCAGGCTAGCATGCACAAGTTCAAGGGAAGAAGAAACAAGCGGCCGCTGCTGCTACAGCGTTCCGGATCCGCCGCCACAACTTTTCGACCCAAAAAATGCATATCAGCAATTCCAAATCAGCGATTACATATACTGTGGAGGACCCAACGGTTACATCACCAAGTCCATGGCACCGGACGGGGTTCCTCCAAAACGCCTAAGCCGCAAGGGCTTGAGAGCATACACCCAACCCCTCAAAAACTTCGAACCCACTGAAGCACTCGGTCTCAACCCATCCCTACGAGGCCGCCTCCCCGAGCTCAAATCTTCGGACCCAGTGGTGGTTGGGAAGTGGTATTGCCCTTTCATCTTCATTCGAGAAGGAGAAGTTAGTTCTCAGATGAGTAACTCGCCGTATTACGAAATGACTCTCCGGCGGAAGTGGGTTGAAATATTTGGATGCGAGAGCTCCAGCGAAGGGAACAATGGCGTGGATGTGGATGTTTATGTGGAGAGGGAGGTGGCTTCGGTTGCTGGTGGGGCGGCTGCGCGCAGAAGGAGGTATGGCGGCGATGGGTTTGTGTGGTTTGAGGCGGCGGGGGTGGGGCTGAGCACGGCGATTGTGGAGAGGGTGAAGTGGGAGGAGGGGAGAGAGGGGTTTGGATGGGTTGAAGAAGGGGAAGAGAAGAAGATTAGGGTGAGGCGAAGGGAGGAGTTGAAAGGGGTGGGAATTTGGAGGAGATTTGGGTGTTATGTGTTGGTTGAGAGGTTTGTGCTGAAGAGAATGGATGGGAGTGTGGTTCTTACTTGGGAATTTAGGCATACTCATCGGCTTACAACCAAATGGGAGTGAGATAGACATTGTTCTTCCTTGCCGAGTTATGTATTTCTTTTGTTATTGCTTTGGTTGATCACATAAAAGCTTGTTTAATAGATAAGTACCTTCAAGTTAGAATTTGATTGTTATAGTTTTCGTAAGACCTTGTGAATAGTTCATGTTCATATGGTTCGATATAGTGCTCATAAATCTGTTCTAATTAATGGACATTATTGGTGGGTTGAGCGGTTACAAATTGTATTATAGAGTCAAGCTCAGATGTGCGAGTGAGACACTAGCCCTTAATGATGGTAGATTGTGAGATCCCACATTGATGGGAGAGATAAACGAAATATTTCTTATAAGGGTATAGAAACTTTTTCGATGTGCTTTAAAATCGTGAGACTGACGACGATACGTAATGAGCCAAAGCGGACAACATCGGCAAGTAGTGGGCTTGGGCTGTTATAAATTGTATAAGAGTCAAACACCGAGCAATATACTAGTGAGGACGATGACCCCCAAAAAAGGTGGATTGTGAGCTCTCATATTGGGTGGAGAGGGGAACGAAACATTTATTACGTTTTAAAACTGCGTGGCTGACAGCGATACATGAATTGTGAGATCTCACCTCGGTTGTTGAGGGGAATGGAACCTTTCTTATAAGGGTGTGAAAATCTTTTCTTAACAGACTCGTGAGGCTGACAGACGAAGATATGGACTAAAGTAGACAATATCTGTTAGCGGTGGACTTAGATTGTTACCCGACATAAATTAATTTTAAAGACTTTAAATGATGAGTGAATTTGTTGGAACCAATTTAAATATATAAAAGTTTTATAAATATATTAATTTACATTTCTCTTGTTGCCCAAAACTGCCTGGTAATCAATCATCCTACGCGCGCTTTTTTACATCCCATACTTGGAAGCTAGCGAGTAAACGCTGCGACGGTCGCGGAGCCGACCAGAGTGAATTACGAGACGGCGGAACAGACGTCGAAGCCTTTGCTCGGAGCTCGAAGATGGTCAATTTGATTGATCAGGATCAACAGTGGCTTCTCAATTGCTTGTCCGCCACTCTTGACCCCAACCAGGAGGTTCGCTCATTCGCTGAAGCCTAGCTAAATCAGGCATCTCTCCAACCAGGTTCTTGCCTTCACCGTAACTCTCAGCTAATTGTTATCTGTACTGATTTTCTCTACTATCGAGTGTCTTCCCATATGGAATCATTTTTCTATGTTTCTAGAACAGTAAATGAATCGCATTTACGCCTCGTTGGTGTGGATATGCGATTGTGTTAGGCAGGATTGATATGTCATATACATACGTTTCTGTACTGTACGAAGATCAGGAACAGATTAAGTTTTCTGGTTCGTTCTGTCTTTCACTATCTGATTAACTTATTCTACTACTGGATTTAATTGTGATACTTCATTCATCTTAAAGGTTTTGGGGTTGCATTATCCAAAGTCACTGCGAACATGGAGCTTCCAGTAGGATTGCGCCAGATATCCTTTGTTGTCGTTGCAATTGAGATTCTTAATTTTTCTGCGTGATTTTCTTCCTGTTTTGTTTTCTTTCATGTGCTCTAAGGAAGCGTAAACACTGCAATTTTAATCTTCCTTGCACTTAGTTTTCCGAAGTATGGATATTATGTTCACTTGTGTTTCAGCTTTCGCTTTCTTTCTTTTTTTCTCTTTTTTGGTTGCCGGTGGTTGTTATTGACGAGGACATACGATTCAAGATCATTCCATGATTTTTGGATCGGACTTAACGCTTTTACCTAGCTGCAGTCCTTCTAAAGCAGTTCATCAAAAAACACTGGCAGGAGGGTGACGAATTATTTGAACATCCCGCTGTTTCTGATGATGATAAGGTATCTATTTTACACCAAATGCTGTTATTCGTTGTTTTCACATTCTGCAATTCTCTTTCTGTCTTGCGACATCCAATGCCACTACTTGGGTATATCCTTTCAATATTGAAATTTTACATTTCTAATTCACTGTTTTTTTTTTTTTTTTTTCTTTTCAGGCAGTCATTCGCAAGCTTCTTTTGTTAACTTTGGATGATTCCCATACGAAAATTTGTACAGCAATTAGTATGGCCGTGGCATCAATTGCAATATATGACTGGCCAGAGGAATGGCCTGAGCTATTGCCTTACCTCTTAAATTTGATGAATAATCGAATTAATATGAATGGCGGTATGACGTTCTGTTTCTGATAGTTATTTTCCACTACAACCTCTTCTCTTCTTTTGGATGTATTTTATTTATTGATTTCATTGAGTACTTAGAGCAATATTTGATATTTTGAGATGACAATTGTGTTTAAACTCAACTTTAGTGTGTACGGAATGCTATTGGTAGGAATTTTTGTAAGTTCTCAAGCGAAGAGAAAAATTGGGTTACTGGCCTTGTTGTTGTATGTATGTATTTAAACTAGGGAAAAGATTGGTCGATATGAAGTCGTGTTTAAAATGGAAATTAGTTAAACAATTATAATACTTCTCATGCAAGAAAAGATACAATGTAAACATATTTCCTAAACTTATAGAGAAGGTTAATAGAGATTACTTTTTCTTGAAAAGTTAACAATAAACTAAACGTAGGGGCCAATTTTATGATTTATTGAAAGTACAAGACTAAAATGGAATGAAACCTGAAATACAAGGACCAAAATGGTATTTTAACCTAAACTAATACAGTATTTCTTGATTAGCTTATTTGTTTTTTTGGTAGCTTTTCAATGGCATTCAAATGTTCGTTGTCATTTTTTAAATCATCATTTCATCAATATTTGTACCTTTTTTTTTTTTTTTTTTTTTTTTTTTTTTTTATATAACGTGGTTGCATCCTTTTGCTGTTTCACTTTGTTTAGAGGCTTAGAATTTTACTCTCTCTTCATGAAGGTCCGTTTATGTTTTCTTTTAAATACTTCAACTTACGAAAGCAAATGATCCATTCGTCATAAACTCATTGGTTTTTCCTTTGGATTAATATTTGATATTTTGGCATGCCTTCAATGTGCTGATTGTTAACATGTAAGTCTTCATTGAATAAAATTTTGATTTATATTAAATTTTGTAGTACATGGAGGTTTAAGGTGCTTGGCTCTACTCTCTGGGGAATTGGATTGTGAAATGATTCCAAGACTAGTACCTGCTTTGTTCCCACACTTGTTTTCAATTGTTTCATCCCCAGAGGTATGAATGCATTTTCTTAAAGATGAAAATTTCATTGTCATATGCTTTGTTTGATTCAACCCTCTTTAAAAGATGGATTATTTGAACTCTGAGTTGGGTTTCTTACTTGCAAACGGATGAGATAAACAAGGGATAGGTTTGAAAGTAAAATTCAAGAGAACTCATCCTAGTTGGAGATAAGATAGCTGCATGTCCATGATCTATTAGGCTCAAACAAGAACATTAAGCATTTAGCAACTAGCTTTCACGAGTAAGCTTGGGTAAGAGAGTGCGATTGAAGAGGATTAAGGATTGGCCAATTATGAAGACTTCAGTAATATTTACTCTTAGAATCTAACTTGGAGTTTAATTTATTTTAAGGCAAAGCAGAGGTGCTGGGTGAGTTCTTTATTCTCCTGCCATCAACCCACTTGATCTTGAATGTGAGAGCTGACTAGGCAAGTTATTCTCTTCAGACCGCATGTAGTTTGTGTGAGATATAAACATTGCCATTAGTTTGTATCTTCATTCACTTAAAAGGCCGTGTGAAATTAATGTAGAGGTATGGGAATGTGTTGGTCTACCAATGAGCTTTAGATTTGGGATTGTAATAGCCCAAGTTCACCACTAGCAAATATTGTCTTATTTGGGTTTTCTCTTCTGGACTTTTCCTTATGGGCTTCCTCTTAAGGTTTTAAAACACGTCTACTAGGGAGAGGTTTCCACGCTCTTATAAGGAATGTTCGTTCCCCTCTCCAACCGATGTGAGATCTCACAGTCCACCCTCCTTAGGGCCCAACATCCTCGTTGGCACACCGCTCGGTGTCTGGCTCTAATACTATTTGTAACCGCCCAAACCCACCGTTAGCTGATATTGTCCTCTTTAGCATTTCCTTTTGGGCTTCCCCTCAAAGTTTTAAAACGCATCTAATAGGGAGTGGTTTCCACACCTTTATAAGGAATGTTTCGTTCTCCTTTCCAACCGATGTGGGATTTCACAGGGTCCGGTGTTCTACCGCTAATCTTTCTCTGGAACTTATTCTCGAGGAGATGCTTGATTTACAAAGCTGATATACAGCATGAGATTGGCTTCTACTCCACATCCCCCCACCTCTCCCCCTACAACCGTGTGTGAAAAATAGAATTTAGTTAAAATGAAGGGAAAAAAAAAACTGGAAAAAAGAATCTGATCTTGGATCTTTTGTTTGTTAACAGATCAATATTTGAACATCGTTTCCTGATAATTTTACTACTTGTGATTGGTCCGTATATAATATCTCTGACTAAGAATCTCTAGATATTACCTGGTTTCGCTATTGTTGGAACTTTTATCGTTCAACTGTGCTTTTACATGTCCACCATGACGCCAAACTCTTCTGCCCCACATGGAGCACCATCCATCTGTATTCAGATTGTGTCAAGTATGCAGGCACAACCACTGGTTTCCTTCTCTTTCTTTTTTCAGGGCTTAATGATCCTACAAATTTTTGGTGTGGAATCGATAGTCTTTAGCTTGCTGCTTCTTCAAGTTGGTTTACAGGTATCTCTAATTTAATAAGTTCTCTGCCTTTTGACAGAACATGGTCAGGTCATCTGCTAGATCTTGATGTCATTTTCTTTTAATCTGCTGGTATCATCACCTAATCCTAACCTGTGACTGTTGAAGGCTGGATCATGGATGTAATTCCAATTTTGCAGCTATTATTAAATTCTTTTATTGTGTACTCTTCTCTGAAAGGTTCATAAAGAAATAGATTTATATAACAAATGCTGCTCAATGAAGGTCAGTTATGGAATAAAGTGAGACCTCGTCACTGTCAACACTTCGGGTTGCGATTATAAGAGCCGATGCCCACCGCTAGCAGATATTGTCCTCTTTGGGCTTTCCCTTCTGGACTTCCCCTCAAGGTTTTAAAATACGTCTATTAGGGAGAGATCACACCCTTATAAAGAATGCTTCGTTCTTCTCCCCAACCGATGTGGGAGATCTCACAACGCAAGTGTAACTTAAGAAGTTGCTTATTTGAGAAATGTTCTACAATTAGCAACAAATCTCAATGATAGGACAATGAGAAGGATGGTTTGCTTCCTTTGCTGTAGCACCCAACAAAAAGAAAAGCTTAAACTGCACCATAGAAGTAGAAGCATCTAATGCCCCCCCACCCTTAAAGTTCTACTTTGTAGGGTTGTTGGAGCACAGGAATGGGCCCCTTCTTGATTCAACAGCAGCACAGCACAGCACAGCACAATTAATGGCACAATGCCCTCTTTTTGGGTTTCTTTTTTGCAGCTCCCACTGATGTTAGTGCAGTGGCTTGAGCATCTTGCACCATGTTTATTCGCTTACAAACATTAGTATAATGTAAAGGAATAGGCTAAAGAAAAGAAACAAGGCAGCCTGTTGGTTGTTACCAAAAGGCCATATGATTATAGCTTTGAAATCGTGCAAGCTTTGTCCTCCAACAATAGGTGGTAGTAGGCGTGCAAGAGCTTCACGTGTTATGTTAATACGAAACCTAGGCATTGACCTTGGCCCACTATTCTCACTTAACTAATATTTTCAAATTTTATAATGAAATTTAACAGGCAATTTGTTTATAGGTGACATTTCTTTATCGAGCTAGTAGAATCTTTCTTGATCTAATCAATTGAATACACCCACTTTTTAATTATTATTTCGTTTTAATCTTTATTGTTCTTTTTAAATAGTTTATTTATCGGTGCGTGGTTCCTAAACTTTGGATAAAACTTTTTAAAATATAATTAAACTATTTATGATAATCAGAGATTCAAATAAAAGTTTGTCTTGTATAGTTATTGGTAAATATAAAATTGTGACCTGATATAGAAATGAGAATTTCGTATAGATTTTGCTTCGTAGATGGGTCAGTATTTCAAATGAAATAAAACAAAGTGTTCGTCTTGATCAAGTTATTCTATCATCAATGGCACCATTATAGTATATTATGTTCTAATTCAATAATGAAAATGATAGCTATAATTACGAGACTAAATCAAACTTTGAATTAATTGGTTATGGGTTGACTATGGCAAGATATTGAGGACCATGGAATTACGTTGCAAAATTACTCCTTATAATGATGATTTTAAATTGAGCCGACGTTATGAAAATTACTTTTGTTCTTGAATTCAAACATTTGACAAAATCTTTATATTCAATCTTTTGGGTTGCTATCAATTTGGGACCCCACAATCTGTGTTCTTCGGAAAGCCTTTTTTTCCTATAGGGAATTCGGGAATCAAACTTGGCTGCTCTTTCGAGGAATTTCTATTTCCGTTTCGATCCTCAGAAAGAAACAAAGTGAGGGGGAAATTGTTGACGGAAAAGGTAAGCTCGTCTTCAGCTTCCAATTTCTTCTCCATGGCTATTTTCATGGTGTCGGTTCGATGCTTTTGCTTCTTCAATCAGCTGGAATCCATTGCTGATTCTGAGTACTTGAACCTTCCCCAAATAGTCTGATAATTGCGCTCCTGTTCAAATTTTTTTAGTAGGTATATCGCTGAACTTGTTGCTTCTTTGATTTGTTCGTAGGTCTGGAGGTGAATTTGATTGTTTCTGTGATGATCCGATTTTAGCTATAATCTCTGGATTGTGATTGAAACGTAACTGGAGAATACTGTTTGACTTCGCTGAGTTGTATAATCTATGATTTTGCTTTGAGGAGTGAAACAGAGCACTGGATGATTCCGGTTTATTGAATAGCGATTTTGAAGTTTGTTTGAATAAAATATCTTGGGGACTGAACTTGTGAAGATTCAATTTGATCGTGTGGTTATCTGGAATATATGATTATTATGCGAAATATGCGAATTGAATGAGTTTCACCAAAAGCTGAAGTTTCCAGGTGAGTTGATCAACCGGAATTTTTTTGTATCTTGGTGTTTGAGCTTGATTTTTATCGGAAATGGCGGCCGTATCACCGGCGCCTAATTCATCTCCGTCGCCGGCTTCTCCCTCCACTCCATCTACTCCGCCGCCCAGTACTCCGTCACCGTTGCCACCGCAACCTCCTTCTCCGCCGCCGCTACAATCGCCTCCTCCGGATCCTTCTGGCCCCTCAACTCCTACTCCGTCCCCATCAGGCCAGTCATCTCCTCCTCCTCCACCGTCTCGTCAACCATCTGCTACTTCACCGCCACCTGCTTCTGGAACTCCGCCCCCTGTAACACCCGCATTGTCTCCTCCGCCGCCTCGGCCTGTTCCGCCGGCAACTCCACCACCAACTCCGTCCAGTGCTCCACCCCCGTTAACACTGGATCCCATACCACCATCAGCAACCCCACCAGTAAGCTCCCCTCCACCAACGTCATCTAATCCCCCACCACCAAATTCACCTCCACCTCCTGTAGCAGAGCCTCCTCAAACCCCTCCTCCACAGTCATCAAACCCTCCTCAACTCTCATCTCCGCCACCTCTGCCACCACCACCACAAGAAAACCCCTCGGATAATCCATCGCCGCCGCCCACAGCCCCAGTTGAGAATCCTCCCCCAACACCACCATCAGCACCTCCAGAAACTTCACCTCAACCCCCAGCGTCAATACCTCCTAGAAACTCACCTCCACCTCAAAGGCTCACTTCTCCTCCTCCTCCCAGTGATCCCCCAGCTTCAAGTCCTCCCCCTCCCAGTGACCCCCCAGCTTCAAGTCCTCCCAAGCCATCGCCGCCCGCATCAATTTCGCCTCCTCCACCATCCCTTGTTTCTCCTCCAGTATCGTCTAAAACCCCAACATTGCCGCCAGGAAATCCCACGGATGATGGTTCGGGTCCTAATGGCGGAGTAAACTCGAATTCGAACAGCAATGGAGGAATAAATACTGGGGGTGTGATTGCAATTGGTGTAGTGGCTGGAATTGTAGTGCTTGCCATAGTTGGTTTTGTTGTATGGTACATCAGGAAGCCAAGAAAAAATGATTCTGGTCGTGGGGGTTACATTATACCATCTTCTATGGGCTCCTCACCCAAGTCAGGTACTGCAATGTAAATATTATTTCGCTGTCATACATGTTCTTAGCCTCCCTCCCAGCACTTACGATTATCTTCCTGCTTGATAATTTATTGCGACGTCTTTAATTCGATCGTTGTGTTTTCCTTCATGAACATGACTACAGTAGTGTTATATGACTGCAGACCTCTGCATTTATGATTACCATCCTGCCTGATAGTTTACTGTGATTTCAATTTAGTCCTTGTGCTTTTCTTAAAGAATATGACCAATGTCATATATTTTTGCAGAGGTATCTTTCTCTTTTTTCTTTTTTTCTTTCTTCTTTTAAAATACAAGAGCTATATATTTTATGTAAGAGCCCAAGCCCACCGCTAGCAAATATTGTCCTCTTCGGACTTTCCCTTTCAGGCTTCTCTTCAAAGTTTTTAAAACGCATCGGCTAGTTTTTAAAACGCATCGGCTAGAAAGAGGTTTCCATACCCTTATAAAGAATGTTTCGTTCTCCTCCTCAACCGATGTGGGATCTCACAATCCACCCCCTTCAGGGTCTAGCGTCCCCGTTGGGACTCGTTCCCTTCTTCAATTGATGTGGGACCCCCCAATCCGCCCCCCTCAGGCCCAACATCCTTGTTGGCACCTCGTGTCCACCCCACTTCGGAGCTCAGCTTCCTTGCTGGCACATTGCCCGGTGTCTAACTCTTATACTATTTATAAGAGCTCAAGCCCACCGCTAGCAGATATTGTTCTATTTAGGTTTTCTTTTTCGAGCTTCCCCTCAAAATTTTTAAAACACGTACGTTAGGGAGAGGTTTCCATACCCTTATAAAGAATGTTTTGTTCTCCTCCCCAACCGATGTGGGATCTCACATTTTATGATTGGGAATTAGAATGTTTAATTATTTTATACTTTTGGATGTGTCATTTTGAAGGGTATTTCAATATTTATTCTAATGTTTTAGTAGGAAAAGATAATATTAATGGAGTCATTGAGAATAAATTACTGAAATTCAATAAGTTATGTAATTTCTTCTTAGAATCCCTTATGAAGGTCCATTCCACACTTCACCAAGACAGACATGGTGGTGGAACATTCTCTCCAAAAGAGTTTGGTGGGTTGGGCAATTCAAGGTCATTCTTTACATATGAAGAACTTTTCAAAGCAACAAATGCATTTTCTGCTCAGAATCTTTTGGGAGAAGGTGGATTTGGTTCTGTTTATAAAGGATATCTACCAGATGGAAGAGAGGTTGCAGTGAAGGAGCTAAAGATTGGTGGTGGTCAGGGTGAGCAGGAATTCAAAGCTGAAGTCGAGATAATTGGTCGCGTACACCACCGCCATTTGGTTTCTCTTGTGGGCTACTGCATTTCAGAGCATCAGAGGTTGCTGGTTTATGATTATGTGTGTAACAATTCCCTTTACTACCATCTTCATGTTAAAGGTATTATTGATTTCAGACCTTTTGACTTATCTCAATACCAAGAGCAGAATTGACCTTTCTCTCATGTTTCGACACTAGGGGACGACCAGCTCGTTCTGGACTGGGCAAGACGCATTAAGATTGCAGCTGGGGCAGCCCGGGGAATAGCTTATCTTCATGAAGACTGTAAGTTTCTATGCCTTTTCCTATAGAAGCTGCTAATTGGTGTCAATCTTAAGACTGGCATTTTTATCTGTGTCAGGCCATCCTCGAATTATCCACCGTGATATCAAATCTTCAAACATTCTTCTAGATGAAAATTTTGAAGCTCGGGTATGCAGGAAAGTTTAATTGCCTATGCTAAAATGCTTAGCTTAAAGGGTTGGGCTTCATTTTTTCATTGGTTGTCATGCAGGTTTCAGACTTCGGGCTGGCTAAATTAGCTCTTGATGCACAGACTCATATAACCACTCGTGTCGTGGGAACTTTCGGGTAGGTCGTTTATGATTGGCACCAATACCCTCCTAGAATCTAAAGTCTGTTTAAGTTTTTGCTTCAATAATTATCTCATTTTGCTTATAAGAATTCAACTTCTCTCTGTCGTAGATATGTTGCCCCTGAATATGCATCGAGTGGGAAGTTAACTGAGAGATCAGATGTATATTCTTTTGGAGTCGTACTTCTCGAGCTGATTACTGGTCGAAAGGCCGTTGATGCATCCCAACCGATGGGGGACGAGAGCCTTGTTGAATGGGTAATATATTCATGCTTCTCTTGTATGTTTTCACTAACGGATATGATGCAATGATGCCACCAACCTTTTTATGATTTTGTTGTTCGAGTATCTCTTCTTTGAATTTTGTAAGAACTTAACTGCTGCTGCTTTTGTAATGGACTTGGAAGACCACAATTATCATATGACGCATGAATGCCCTTACTAGATCTCTGAATAGCTTGAGAAAGTGTTATTTTAGGATCTACTATTGAAGTTTCATAAGAAATGAACGAAATGAGAATTACAAATAACACAGTCAACATGGTCAAACATTCTTGAACGATAATCCAGTTCCTCTGCATCATATTGTCCAAACTGTTATTGGACATTCATCGATGAGATCAATGCCCGAAGATGGCGATTTTCGAACTTCCAAATCAACCTTTTCTGACGAAGTTCTTATCTTTCAGGGTCGGCCTTTACTAAACCATGCGCTCCACAGCCAAGATTTTGAAAGGTTGGTGGACCCAAGGCTTGAAAGGAACTATGTTGAGAGTGAAATGTTGAAGATGATAGGAATAGCTGCTGCTTGTGTTCGGCATGCGTCCGCAAAGAGACCACAGATGGGACAGGTTGTATTTCTTTAACCGATTTGTGACACGAATACAAAAAACCAAACCTCACCCTTGTTAAATCTTGTACAGTATTATAACTGAATCGTTCTTCTCATGTTCTCATTCTCAGGTTGTTCGAGCTTTTGATAGTTTAGCTGCAACAGATTTAAGTAATGGAATGAGATTCGGGGAGAGTCAAGCCTTCGACTCCGGTCAAAAGTCTGCTGAGATAAGGTTTTTCCGAATGCTGGCATTTGGAAACCAAGATTACAGCTCAGACTTTTATAGCCAAGGTAGCTCAAATGCCTGATTGATCAGGAGATTTTGTAGATATAATAGAGAGGGAAAACATCTCATGACCAGGAAGGCTTTTTCCCATGTTGACCGAAACTCAGGTGATTGATTACAAGAACCTTCATGTAATTAAAGATTAACAAGCCTCCAATTCATGTTCCTTAGATTCATATTGTTCATACATAAATCATATTATGAAAAATAACATAGGAAATGAGATTTGAAGACTGTTATAGGAAAAAGGACAACGCGTTAAATATTATTCATTATTCACATCAGTTCTCAATAGTATTTTTGCAACAATAGTATTGTGAAGTTGGTAAAGTTAGATTGAAAAGGAAGTTGAGTGGCTCTGCTTATCATGTTCTTTTTTTTCTTTGTTAACAAAACTAATGTATCTAATCTACAATGAATTCCCTCACTTTTGTAATGTACACAGAAGTTGGAACAGTATACAACAAATGTTCTACCAACAGCTCTCCTTTTTGGCTGATTTTGCTTATGTATTTTCTTGCTGCAGGCTATGCTTCTGCTCTTGAACATGGCAGATTTGCACAAGAGCAAGAAAACAGCACCCTATCCAATGTGTACACGTCGAAGAAAGCTTCTATTTTTTCGACGATAAACAGTGAAGATTGAGACTGATGTTGAGCTTGTCAAGTAGAAGTCTGGTTTCTTTGTTTTGAGTTGTTCCTTTTGGCTTCTAACCGTGCTGTGGAACCTACACTCGTCGATCGGAATTTGTACTTCCACAACATATTACAGTACTCCTGGTTGTCTAGTTGCCCTTCATTTCTAATCCATAAAATCATTTGATGATACATAGGAAAGAACCTCATCTGTAATGCTGAGTAGGAGAAGTAAGGAATGAGTGTTGAGATCACCACAAAGAAAAGGACAAGCCAGTAGGAAGGGCCAGGGGCAAGGACTTCAGTGAAGATCTTGTAAGCATTGGTTGAAAGGGTGGGGGTCATGGACTCATAAATCAGGAGAAAAATGTACCAAATTGAAATGGAACCCCAGATGAAAAGATGTTGTATCAAGGTGAAGTAGCTAACAGCAAGCGCCATTTGCAAGTTCACAACCCAAACGACACAAGAGTACATCATCGCACCCATAATTTCCCGCCCTGCAGGTTTCCCATCGGAGTTGAATGCCTGATGCTCAAGTGCGCCAGTGCAAAGGAAGAAAATGATCACAGCACTGTACAATCCATTAAACATCCAACTGAGTATTCGGAGCCAGCTGAAATGAACATTCTGCACCCCTTGTTGGTATAAGAGAGGAAACTGCCACATCAAACAAAGAAATGAAGCCTAAAATTTGGCCAATTCCACTTATATGCATCAGGGCCTACTGTTCTGATGGAAAATAAAGAGAAATCAGTTTCTTATGGTGTTTTCTACTCTGTTTTCTCTCTCAGAATATGCGTTCATGTTCCTCACGACGCTTCACGGTTGAAGAAACAAGCAAATGGCTTCATGTTTAAGAAGAAATATCTTTACTGGGTCTCTATCTCATCAGTTAATGGTAGGCTGAGTTCATGAGAAAGGATATGGCAAAAGCACAGCCATAACTAGAACAGAAGAACTCAAACAGCAACCGGACAACAAAGAAACAAGCACATAAACTAAGCATACCTGGAGGCAGAGCCTTGCAGATACGTCCTGATCGAAGACTCCCAAAGCTACGACTGGAAGCGACGAGAAGAAAACATTGTAAAGTGATAAAAACCAATCATTATATACAGGTTCCCCAGAGAATGATGTGAATGCTTCGTATAAGAATATGGTAAAACCAAAAGTGATATTCTTATAGAAGAAGTAGCAAATCTGCAAATAGAGAGGTAAGCTCATCAATGTCACAAAGTGAGAACTATGAAAGATGATGTTTTCTGAATCTCCAGATATATAAATTGCATTACCATTGATGATATCCTTCTGTAGCACCAATGTCCATGCACGAGAAGCAGGCGCTCTAAATATTTAAACTGAGCAATCGCAACGTCACTCGACATAACGGCCTGAGTTGAAATATAAAAGAACTCATGAGACACTGGAAAAAATTATTGAAATCTTTGAATATCAAGTGTTGTCTGCTTTCTTAAGCACCTGCATTCCTTCAGCACCGCTAATTCCGACTCCAATATCTGCTTCTTGAAGCATTCCTACATCGTTAGCACCATCGCCGATAGCTAAAGTTGTTTTTCGTGTTCCAGTTTTAACCAACCTTGTTACCTGACACCATGAGTTGGAGGTTAATATTTTTTCAAGATGTGATTTTTAAGCAAATTAAAGACTAAAAGTGTGAAAACATACCAATGCCTTCTGTTTTGGAGATGAACGGCAGCAAATAACAGAAGCGCAACGTATCGTTAGATCGAGAAACGATGCCTTCATACTGTCCTCTAAAGCATAAGAAAGCGATTTTCCATCAATGATTAATGCAAATGCTTCAGATGACCCACTTGATGAATTGATCTGAGCTCTCCCTCGAGTAATCTGATCACGAACACATTGCCTCGACGCCTAAAAGATAGTCAGAAAGATTTCAACACAAGGAAGGATGCGAGTCGGTTGATCCTCGAATAAAAAGAAACAAAGGCATTGCATACAGGAAAAAAGAACTATTCTTTAAAAATAATTCAACTCTCATGGATAGAAAAGATTCAACCATGTTATGTAGAATGTCTGAAGGAAAGCATGAATCGATATTAGCTACATATACTGTAACAACTCAAGCAGATATTGTCCTCTTTGGGCTTTCCCTTCTGGGCTTCCCCTCAAGGTTTTAAAACGCGTCCACTACCCACCTCTAGCAGATATTGTCCTCTTTCGGCTTTCCCTTCTGGGCTTCCCCTCAAGGTTTTAAAACGCGTCCACTAGGAAAAAGTTTCCACACCCTTATAAGGAATGGTTCAGGAGTCCTCTTTGGGCTTTCCCTTCTGGGCTTCCCCTCGAGGTTTTAAAACGCGTCCACTACCCACCTCTAGCAGATATTGTCCTCTTTCGGCTTTCCCTTCTGGGCTTCCCCTCAAGGTTTTAAAACGCGTCCACTAGGGAGAAGTTTCCACACCCTTATAAGGAATGGTTCGTTCCTCTCTCCAACAAACGTGGGATCTCACAACTCACCCCAACCCCCCGGGGGACCAGCGTCCTCGCTAACACACCGCCCGATGTCTAGCTCTAATATCATTTGTAACAACTCGAGCCCACTGCTAGCAAATATTGTCCTCTTTGGGCTTTCCCTTCTGGGCTTCCCCTCAAGGTTTTACAACGCATCCACTAGAGAGAGGTTTCCACACCTTTATAAGGAATGCTTCGTTTCTCTCTCCAACCGATGTGGGATCTCACAACCCACCCCTTGGGGCCTAACGACCTCGCTGGCACACCACCCAATGTCTGGGTCTGATACCATTTGTAACAACTCAACCCCACCGCTAACAGATATTGTCCTCTTTGGACTTTCCCTTCTAGGCTTCACCTCAAGGTTTTAAAACGCGTCCACTAGGGAGATGTTTTCACACTTTTATAAGAAATGTTTCATTCCCCTCTCCAACCAATGTAGAATCTCATATAAACAAAACTTACTCGATAAACGGGACGTAAGACAAACATGTATAGGATACATCGATATCGCAAATCTAAAGTACCAGAGAAATTTTCAAACAATGTACATACGAAAGCAATACATATCAAAAAGCAGATGCACACATGAACAGAAACATTCCACGGAATCGATCGTATACTAAACGAGGATTGAATATAGATTCACCTTGATGATGGAAGTCTTATCCCCTGACTTCTCTATTGCCTGAATTTCTGATGACTCCAGAGTAATGACAATCTGCTTCATATCTTCTCTTAGTAAGCTACAGGCAAAACTGTCATTTTGTGCTCTCAAGTTAAGTATTAATTCAGATATGATACAACTGAGCCTCAAATAGACAACAAGCATTCATACCCAATATTTATGGCAGTCTCCATTTTGTCGCCCGTCAAAACCCAGATCTTAATTCCCGCCTGAGCGAGCCTGTCGATGCACTCAGGAACCTAACACGAATAACACAAAGAAACGTTAATTCCAAGTCTTTTACTGACAGTGGTTCACCATTAGCAACCATTGACACTTCTCAACTCACCCCATTTTGAAGCTTGTCCTCAACAGCAGTGGCACCAAGAAGAATTAGATTCTTCTCAATTTTGTCTGTAAGTTTATCAATCAATGATTCTCTATCTGCATCAACTGAGGTTTTGGCCATAGTGAACTTATGATGAAATTCTCTGTATTCTTCCTCGTCAAGCTCACGGTAGGCGAGTATCAAAGTCCTCAACCCTGCATCGGCGTACTCGCTGACATGTTCCTTAGTCCTCTCTTCAAACTCCCTTCCATTCTTTCCAAGCCTTTCAAACATGACACTGCAAAGAGAAGGGAATCATGGTGATTCTGAACTTTAACTAAAGCAGAGATAAGAATTAGACTAAGTCATTTCAACCACAAACCTGTCTGCACCTTTACAGAATAATATTATTTTCCCCTCCTCGTTTCTTATTATGACAGACATCCGCTTTCTCATGCTATTGAACTCCAAAACATGCAACAGTTTATATGTCCTGCAAAAAAAAGACAATAATGACATGATGGCATTTGATAATCGACAAAAAGATCGTAACAGCTCAAGCCCAGCGCTAGCAGATATTGTCCTCTTTGGGCTTTCCCTTCCGGACTTCCCCTCGAGATTTTAAAACACGTCTACTAGGGAGAGGTTTCCACACCCTTATAAAAAATGTATAAGATATTGTCCTCTTTGAGTTTTCTCTTCTGGGTTTCCCCTCGAGATTTTAAAACGCGTCTACTAGAGAGAGGTTCCACACCCTTATAAAGAATATTTCGTTCTCCTCCCCAACCGATGTAGGATGTAGCGAAGATAACCTGTCATCTACGTTTGACGATGGAAATAAAGAGAGATATCGGCATTTTACGTCCACTGTGCAAAGCATGTCAGAAATCCACAACAATGGCTTAAATCTATCTCATGTGTTCTTAATATATTAAGTTCATGAGTATGCCATCAACTAAAAGGAACAGAAGAAATAGAAAATAGTCACCTATCAACTTTCTTGCCTAATGAAGGTTCAAACTCATGGAGTGATATGCTTGTCTGTGTTCTTTTATAGAACTCAAAGCCTAGCTCCCTAGCTGCAATCACAAATGCTGCTTCATCCGGTGATTCGGCCTCATAAGACACCTCGCCACTGTGCTCGTTGATTTCAGGTATCGCCGTATGACAAGTGGCAAGAAGACGAAAAAACATTTGGATGACATTTGCATTAGGCTCATAAACCCAGTTCCCATTCATAACTCTATCATCTTGAAAGTTAAAGCCCTTGACATGTGAAGTTTTCTTAGTGTCATCCTCTTGTTGATTCCCCCCATTTACAGCTTCATACAATGGTGAATTCTTCAGTCCACCAATAGCCCTTTCTACCTCTGTGAAACCACGACCATAAGCCGTCCCGGCCACTGAACACTTGATGAACTCCATCGAATTACACGTCAGGGTTCCCGTCTTGTCAGAAAGTACCGTATCAACTTGACCAAGTTCTTCATTCAAATTCGAGGTGCGAGCACGTGCAGGCTTATTAGCTTCTTC